GGCCGACTGATCGCTTAGCCTGGAAACAAGACAACCAGTCGTCTAGGGGCATAGGTGGCGTGACTAACTACCACGTACCTGTCCGCAACTATCGACCATGCAAAACAGTCGGTATAGTATGCAATTGGATATCAAAGTTTCGATACTTAGCAAAATCGAAACAAATTTGAAACAAAACATTTTTGGCATAAATAAACATACCCCCGGCCCCTTGGCCGGGTAAAAGATACAAAAAAAGAAGCCGGACATTAAGACCGGCAAAATATTCAAAACCCCGGCCCCCTGGCCGGGTAAATAGAAACAAACGGCACGCAGGCCGTGAAAAGAAGACATAAAAGCTTAAGAAGGGGGCAGATCTTCAATAGTAGCAGCTGCCGCCTGGTCAGCACTCTTTTTGCTGGACTCGGTTTAGCTGCATCCTTCTTCGATGCATCCGCCCCAAGCGGCACAAGCGCCACTACCGGCTCCTCCTCCTCCAACGCCTCTTCCTCAGCAGCCGCCAGGATCTCTTGATTATATCCACTGGCGGTACGTTTTTTCCTAGGAAGAAAAGTCGGCATTGGGGAAGAGGCGGCCCCAGGTCAGGCGCTGGATCTGAGCAGAGTCTTCCATCATCTCTCGGACCAGCTCCTTCTTTTCTTGCTCGGCCTTTTCCGAGAGCTCCTGAGTAAGACTCTTCTCCTGGGTCACCAGGCGCTCCTTAACGTGTGCCAAGGATTTCTCCAAGGTGTCGTATGAGGACATTTTTTTGGCGAAGAGGTCTCAGCTCGGCCTTGAGATTGTTGATGGTCGCCTCCAGCTCACTATTTTTCTTCTGGGCCGCCTTTAACTGAGCCCGGATAGCAGAAGTAGCCTGCGCCTGATAATAAAGAATATCAATTGTCAAAACCTCATTTTGGGCAATTTGAAACATTGCCTTATCACAGTCAGAGGCGGCCATAGCTTTTGCAGCCTTTACCTCTTTGTTCTTCCTGTCAAGCGGCTTGCGAAGGCCGTTCACTCGGAGTAGGGCCTAAGTAAAAGGGAACAGGCGTCAGTTTTCAAACAAAAAACAGGCGTCCTGGAATTTAAATAACCAAAAATATGCAAGTATACCTCAGCAAGGACCCCTGCAATCCCGTCAAGGTCAAGGGTGCCGACACCCCTGACTGCCTCCCTCTCAGCCGGAGGGACGGCTTTGATCATAGACTTGGCAACTTCGACCAAGTCTGGCTCCTGAGGGCCGGCTGCATTAAGCATAAACAAACGAGTTAGACCTAGTAAAGAAGGGAGCAAGTCTAAATTCACAAGGACAGCTTCATACTTCTAGGTGGCCCGATTGGAGTTTTAGAAGGAGTGGACGGCTGCTTCTCAGCCGCCGCATGTTTCCTGGCAGTACCAAGAGAGCCCGCAACAGTTGTCCTCCGGGTCTTGGAGTCCGGCTGTTGGGAAGAAGAGGCTCTTGGAGTGCCCGTATATGCATAAACCCAACTCCAAAAAGAGAGTGAAAGGTTCGGAGCTCACCAAGGGCGCCCCCTTGTTGGGGGAGTCGGTTGAGGATTGTTGCATGATGGAGGCTCGCAACATGGCCGCCGCAGTCTTGGAGGCGGTAATTTTTCTCATGGCGTCCGCTGCAAGAACAAATAGCAAAATTAATAAAAGTCATAACAGTAATGCATGGAAAAACAGAGTATTCGACAGGCCGGCTATCTCTTGAACACCGACTGCTAAGGCCACAGGCGGCCAGAAAGTACTCGTCATAGAGCTATTTGAAGCTCGGGACGCAGTGCAGGGGTACTTGCTCTCGTACCCCTGTAGTAGAGTCGACCCTCGACTCTACTTTAAAGAGTCCTTTATCCAGGATCTCTTTCTTGGCTTTGGGGGGAACAGGCGGCATGCAGCGGCCGCCTGCAAGAAGAGGAGGATTCCTGTTCCACTTGTTGAAGCGCTTGTTCAGCTCTGTGTCTGAACTTTCAATGATAAGGAAGGTGTTTCGCCAATCCTTCCACTTGTTTGCTTTACCCCTTGTCATGAGGTAGCCTCTGTGGCTCGTCAATTGATACCAGCCGGTACCGCCTGCCTTAGGGGTCCGGCTGAGGTAGTTCATGTAGGCGAAAGCCTCGAAGTTTGGCTCCACCCCGTGCAGTTCGCACCCGGCCACATAGCCGAGTACGTTGACCCAGGAGTTTGGGGCTAACTGCCATAACCCCAACTCATACCCATCCAAGATCCGCTGAACAGCCGGATGTAGTGGGAAGCGAAGCCCAGCCCTGATGGCCGCCTCGTAGCAGCCAAAGAAGGCGCCATCATAACTAGTACCAGCCGGCCAGATGACTGTGTCTTCTGGATCAGACACGAAAACTAAAAAGTCGGGGCCCATTGTGTGGTTCGCAATAAAGCTTCCCACTTTCTCTTGCATGGCCGTGATCCGGCCCCGTGGGACAGTGCAGTAGTAGGGGGTATTTTGCTATCGGTAAGAGGCGGATGGCTCCGCCCAATTGCCCCCCTTCTCAACTGCGTGAGAAAGCCTCGCCTCTTGTAGGCGGCTGTTTTTCTCTTCTGTGTCCAGAGAAGCATGACCAGAAGAGCTAGACTCGGATTCGTCCTCTGACGAGTCCGAAGTGGACGACTCCTCCCCTCTCCTAGAGGGGCCCGCCTCCTCTCCTTCAAAAGGAGCAGGATAGAATGTAGACTTGTCAACTGAAAAATTGGAAGGGGTCACTTTGACTCCTCCCTCAGAATTGTCGGCTTTCAAGCCCCTTTGGTTCACTTCCACATCTGGCGCCTGGTCAGATGTTTCACTAATCGGCACCCTGTGGGAGGAGCCGTCTGAGTTCGAAATCCTAGCAGTTCTTTTTGTTCTGGCTATCATGTTCTGCATAGACTTCGTCACTCGCCCTTCCTCACAACATAAGGTTGAGTACCCTCCCGTTCGATTAGCTCTCTCGCAACAAACAGAGGAACCTATAGGATTTTAGGCTCGAAAATACTTGCTTGAGCAGCAGCTGCACGACTTCGGTTGTCGGTTCTATAGGTAAGAGTCCATTATGGCAGGATCAGTCACCTGGGCAAACCAACACAGAGACAGTCGGACTTTGTATAAAGGGAAAAGATGGGTCCGGAAAAGGGCAGGCGGCACTCCTAGTCCTAGATTCAGCCGTCCCCGGTGACCGGCTGATCACTAACCTAGGTCGTGTCGTGTGCTTCCGTGGTGCCATTTCAAAAAAGAATAAAATAAAGAAAAAATTAAGAGTAAGAGAACCGACGGTTACCTGAACGAGTAAAGTTGACGGAGTTCTGGAAATCTTGTGTAGTCGGCTTGTCAGAGCAGGCGGTAGGCAGAAAGGGTCCGAAATGTCGGAACAAGTTCAGGATTCCTTATATAGGCGAAGTGAGAAGTCGAAGGGTCCCTTCCAAAATTCAAAATTTGGGCGGGAGAATCTCTCGGCCTTTCGCCGAGTGACACCTGTAGCAGGCTGTCGCCTGTCACAGTGCGACACCTGTCACAGGTAACACGTGACCAGTCACAGGTAACACGTGACCAGTCACGTGCTACCTGTAAGGGGCAAATGATTAGGGGATTTTGCTCCCACCAATCGGAATGCGCCACGTGGGCCAATCAGGTCCTGTCAAGTGTCCCCAGTTGGAACTGTCAGGGTTTGCCACGTGGCACACGCCTATTCGTCCACCCTGGACCTATTATGTCATGACACGTGACATCCTCCATGCCTAATGGAGAAACCGGCCACCTAGGCCCAACTTCCAAGGGAAGCCCAATCAGCCCTAGGTTAACCTAAACCTAGGATTGGCACGTTTCCCAAGGTTATAAATACCTCCCTTAATCCTCATTAAGGGGGATGACTCACATTTAACACTCTCACCTAGAGAGACCCAATCACTTTTATTTCCGCATTAATTACTCCTTAATCAAGTACTAACTTGACTGTCGGAGGCGGATCTCCAATCATCCGGAGCATCCGTTTGTTTTGCATGTACAGGCGTCCGGTTCCAGTCTCGGAATTGTAACTCTCCCGCAGGACATCAGAAAACCCCGAAACAACTAGCATAATATTAATTTTTTTTTACAACAAAGTTTTATAAAAATTTCAGTTCCTATATTGTTAAAATTATAATAGAACCAGCTTTTTTTGTCTTTTTTTTTTATTCCAAGTCTTTCCCTCTTTCCTACGAATTACTCGTAGTATTTAAACCCGGTGCTTTAATTATGACATTTCTAAACAAAAAAATTTAACGACAATTAAAAAAAACCTAAATAATTCCTCAAAAAAAAAAAAGTGGAAAGCTAAACGTCGCCCTCGAATATCTAACTAACGCCCGTAAATAAAATATATTTTACAAATTTACCCTTGTATTTAAAAAAAAAAAAAAATTACCCCCCTCAAACATAATTTGCCCACCCTCACTACTTCTTCTCTCTAAACCACCACCACCACCTCCTTTTACCACCCACTACTATCACCACCACCACCTCCTCTTTTAACCACCAACCACCACCTCCTTTAATCTTTGGTTTCTCGATCTACACAGCCGCAGATATGACGAGGAAGGACAAGGGGAAGGTGGCCGCCGAAGACAAGATTTGTTTTTTATTTTTATTTTTATTTTCTGAAATCGGGTTCAAACACCCTGTTTTTTTCAAACAACCTAAGCTCAAATGCCTAGTTCATTCGAACAACCGTATGGTTGTACGAAAGATCTGGGCGGTTGAGATGAATCGCTTAGAAAATTTAAACAACCACAACAATAAAAAAAAAATCGAAACCCAGGCAAACGCCTAGGATTTTCGATAACCCTAGGCTGAAACGCCTAGTTTTTTTCAAAACTTCCTAGGATGTTCGAAAAAACTAGGCGTTTCAGCCTAGGGTTTTCGAAAATCCTAGGCGTTTGCCTAGGTTTCGAATTTAAAATTTTTTTATTAGTACACACCGAGTCCATATGGTCCGACAAGCCTTTAACGAGCAACATAGGTTGTGTTTCCGGTATTTCGTTGTCGTCCATAAGATCCAATAAATTTGATTTTGCAAAATTTAATAAATTTGTTTGATTTTGAAAATCACGGTGGTTAGTCCGATGATCGTTGGTGGCCGTTGACCACTGGAGAGAACGGTTAAAATTTTTATGTACGGTAAAAGTGTGAAATTGAAGTAAAATTAATTATTTTAATAATTGTTATTATAAGGATAAGTACGTAATTTTATGTTATTTTGCGGACGTTAGTTAGATATTCGAGGGCGATATTTAACAACCAAAAAAAAAAAGGCAAGAGTGTCCTCGTGATCCCCTCTCACTTCTCAAAATCGCTCACTTTCTTCTCAGTTCTCACTTCTCATTTCTCAACACCACGTACAACCGCTACCTCCATCGCCGCCGACTACGCTGACTCCTCCATCTTCTCGCACACACTTAGCCGCCCAGTACTCCATCTTCGCCCACACTGCCTCCTTCAATTCGCCGCCCGCACTTGTCTCCATTGAAGACCGGCGACTTCCACCACCAACCGGTGGTATCTACCTCCTTCATCACCATAGACTTCCACTTAAGCAAGTCAACTCCTTTATCTCTTCCATTTTCAACAATTGAGCAAGGTTAGGGTTTCAATAATTTTTTACCCAATTAGTATCTTTAATCTTCTACAATTATTTATCTCTCTCCTCTTTTGTTATGGCTAGTTTTTCTGCAGTTTAATTAACTTGGTTTGTTATTTGTGTTTGATTCAATTGATTTCAAGGATTTTGGGTTCAGGTTTGTGTTTGGGGATTTTCAGATTTTTGAGATTTTAAGTTCTTGTTTTATAGGTGATTTCTTGATTTTTTTTTTATTTTTATTTTTATTTCAATATACATTTTAATTATTCTATCAAAGTTATGCAGCAGTAGATTATATTAAACAGAGTAAATAAAAAAAAGCACCATTATTTGGTTGATTTGGTTCTTATACTCATCCTACTCAATTAGTCCTTGAACTCTCTATCGTTTTTTACTGGTAACACACACACTCTCTATTCTGTTCCTTTTTAGGTAGTTGTAATTTAATTTTGTAGATCCAATTGAGTTTCTACCTAATTTTGGTGTAATTTTTTACAGAAGTTTAATTCATATTTTGTTCCATTGAATTTTAAAGTTTTGATTTTATATGTATGGGAAGAAAAACCATGATGTTGGGGTTACCCTTCAATTTGGACAATGTATTATTAAAGTATTGAGTTTATACTTTGGCAGGCACATAATAATTGGCCTGAGTGTTAAAATGGATGTCTTAGATGTATGGTTGCTTTCAAATTGGCCTTTGAAGTTAACTCCTACTAGCTACTACTTGTCATGAAGAAGGGCAGGAAAAAGGTTAATGCAATAACAGGACTCATTCATTAGCTGGAAATCAGAAATTTTGGTTGTAATGAACATGGAATGGGCTGCTAAATAAAGGTCAATTTGCTTAACTATTACTTAGAAGAACTGTTTACTATGCTTTATTTCATGTATTGTTTATACTCATTGGTTTAGTTGCAAACATTACGGATGTGCTAGTTGAGTTCATATTTAGTTGTTCAAATGATAAGGAGCTTTTGCTTTATGTTTTTGTAGAGAGTTCATGTTCAAGAACATTTTATCAGCTTTCCTCTTACAGATTCATGTTGATTTCATCATAAATTTATAAATGGAAATATTTTTGCTTGAATTCCATTCTGTTAGAATGAATTTTGGTGCAATAGAATGTTTTAATTTGGATGATTCGTTACTACTTTTGTTATAAATTTTATTTCTTGAGTATTTTTTATGAGATTCTTGTATTTTAGATTTTCTAATAATGTTATCAAAGTATTGGAATAGATTCTGAGTGATATTATTGGCATGTGAAATTATCTTATATAGTCCCTGATAATGCTTTTTAGTGTCCTTTTAGTTAACAATTTTGACTTTATTGACTTTTTCTGGTAGGTTGATTATTAGAACTATGTAGAGGTATTAGATGTTGTTTAATCAGTATAAAAAGTGTAGCATAAGACTGCTTTGGGGTACGTGTTGAAATTTTGGTAGTATTGGTTTAGCCATTACGAGTCTCACTTGTCTAATAACAACTGCAGGCAGTTCAGGTTGTGATGGAGAGGGTAGACTCTGCTCCGAATAATGGTAAATTGTTAATAGTAAGTTAGCTCCGCTGATTATTAGTAATTTTAATATATTTGTTTGTTGTGTTGTTGCTTCTTGCTTCTAGTCAGCTGATGTGTAGAGTTTTGTCGTATTTACTTTCTGGTTGAAAGAAGTGTGTTTTGGAACGTGTCAAGTTAAAGCTTATACACTTTGATGATGGAAGCAATTCTTTTGTAAGGACTACTTCTGGTGCATGTGTTTTCTGGATGTTTAATAGTTGTATACCAGAATTTTGCAGTTTGCTTTCTCTGATTGGCTAGTAGTTAAAAGCTCATTTTCATTGGAAGAATAGTCAGTGGTGCAAATGAGCGTTTTGGCACTTGTTTACCTTGAAGGTTTACTTATTTATTTTAATATATTAAGGGCAATAAAATGTGTAGCCGAATACTATCAGCAACAGGGTTGAAATGCTGGAGGGTTTTAGTGAAATTTATAAATTTATTGGTTTTTTTTGTCATTGCAGTTGTGGAGTTTGGAGGTCGCAAAACAATCATTTTGGCAGCTTCACTATTTAGATTTATCTAATTGAGTCACTACTGTAGACGCCACTGCTGCTGGTGCTGTAGGACATCACTGCTGCTACTGGTTGCTTCTGCAAGCAGCTCCAACTGCACAACGCTACTGCTGGCTGCTGCTACTTGTCACTACTGGTGACGTTTAAAGCTCCCGCGTGCCTGTGTCTAACTATGCTAGGTCACTTTTTTTGTTACTGTTGTGGCTATATGAAATTGTAATATGGTTGCTACCTATGCTTAGTGATGTTGTAACATACATGTACTCCTACCCTTGAACCAATTGTAATTTCTTTTCTGGGATGAAATTGTAATATTACAATAAATTATTAATGAAAATATCTAATTTTATATACATGATAAAGTTTGTGCATTAGTTTATATAAAAGAAATTGTAGGCGTGAAAGGGCATTGGTTTTGTGCCGGAGAATTAATTTAGCAATGGTAGTATTTGTGGTAGAGAAGCTTATTAGCGACGGTATAATTTGTGGCAAATAAGTTGTCAGCCACATTAGTATTTGTGGCAAGTGAATTTGTTTGTCACGGGAAAACTCGTGGCATAAAATTCAAAATTTGTCACAACATTCATTTTCTCTTGGCAATTTTCTAGCCACGGCCTCTTGTGCCATGGCAGTAAATTTCAAAATTCCCGTGGCTAAATAGCATAGCCACGGAAATTTTGAACTTGTGCCACGATTTAACTCGTGGCTTAAAGGTCAATTTGTTGTAGTGTTTCCTAGGAAGAAGAAATGACACATCCGGCTTCCGACGACAATTCCAGCTACCACGCGCCGTTCCAGACACCACGCGTCGGCTTCCCAGCTCTGGCTTGAACTCAGCTTGATGGTGGTTAGTTGCGTGCCCCTCTTTGGTGGCACGTGCAAAGAGCTTCGGCTCCGGGAAGAAATAGATGATTTATCTTACTTAGTTTTTTTTTTGTAGAGTTTTTGCTTACAAGTTTTTACCTTTCACTTGAAAGGGTTTTTTTTTGTTTAAGCACTTAGGATAAGTTTTATTTTCTGTTATTTAGTTGCTATAAACTTCCTAAGGTTGTTAGGAAAGTTTTTAGTTAATTAGATTTTGTTTAGGATTAGTTTTATTATTCTGATTAGTAGTTATTCTATTCTAATTAGGATGCTTGGAGCACAAGGTTAGGGGTTTGTCCTAATCCTTGTAGGAGTAGGATAGTTGCCTCTTATACTTATAAATACGAGGTATTTTCGTGGCTTTTAGAGATAGAAATCAGATTAATTTTAATACAAATTGTTTAGCTTTGCTTAAACGATTTCTTGCTAGTTTTCAATTCAAGGAGTTGTATGAAGATTAGAACATTGAACACTTAGTGTCTAGGAGTAGGCTAAGAATTTAATCTCAAAAGATTTAGTGTCCAGGAGTGGGTTAATTAATTTGGAGATTCGAATCATAAGTTTCAGGAGTGATCTTGTGAGGAAAAATTTCGATTCGTTTATCTTCAATCTTAAAGAAATCTTTTAAGGTTGGATCTTTATTTCAAGATTGTAGGTTTTCTAAAAACTTGAATAAACAAGGGGTTAGAATCCACATCATTAGTTAAGAAACATATATTGATAAGATGCAACATGGCACATTGCTTAACAAAATTCAGTGCTTTGTGAAATGCTGATGAAATTAAAGGATTGAGTGATGCTCCTTGTGCTTCTTCAAAAAGGATACAACCTGAGTGTCATGAACTATACTCGCCAATTTGATTCACATGTTTTAAGAACATGTGGTAATGGATTTCAATCGAAAACCAATGTAACATTGGAATATAATTTAGAAATTCCTAAATTCCTTGCGGAAGGATGAAGGAAGATTTTAGTGTATGGAGATGAATATAATTATAAAATTTAGAAGTAGCAAAATTCATATTCATGAGAATGTCTCATGAATTGTACAATCTAAACTATTTCAATAGCCTAAAGACACATAGGCTTATTTGAAATCAGCATGATAGTGGATGGTTTTGATTGTGTGCTAGGGAGTCGCAATTGCAAAATCATCAGTCATGATTTCCTATGTTTATCAATTGAAACAAAGTTTCAATTTTATTTAATCTTAGTTTAGTATTAAATAATATGTCCAAAAAAAATTATGAATTGATGGGATCATCAAATACGCGATTTAGTGAATGGAACCCCACAGGTTAACTAAATTCATAAATTTTTTAAGTTCTAGTTCGGAATCATTAAATTAGACATAAATGATTTCAATAAATGGACTGGCATGTAAGATTGATTGGATAGCGCAGTTTCATGGGATATAAGGGCATAGAGATGCTCGGTCAATCACATGGATATATTAGTGGATTCCTTTGACATGAGTGGAACACTGATTTCATTCAATGATTGATTTAACTGTCGTACACCACAACGTCATGCCGTAAAAGGGGACTATAAAGGGTGCTTCCTGGTTACTTCAAAAGTTGAGTGGGAGATTCGGTTGCCACAAGATTGGATTGAGTGTGCCTATTTAAGTAGGAAACGTGTCATAGCCTCTTGAAGAGGGAGAATTGAGAAATTGCATGGCCATGCTCAAATAGAATACATAGTAATCATTTGTTTTGCAATTTTAACTCAGATTTCAAGAAATGATTTGTAGATTAATATGATCTCAACATGAGATGCAATCATATTATCAAATCGACACATATTGACTTAAGGAATTTGAATATTGCACACTTGTCTTAGACAAGTGGGAGATTGAAGGTTTTATGTCTCCGTCAAGTGAAATTACTAGATATATAATGGATCAAATTATGGAGATAATTAAGTTCGTTCTTTTGGATCGTCGTTTAATCATAGCTAGAGGTACTTACGATCTTTGGACTAGTAAAATATCCCAAAGCTCAATTGAACGGATCCTATAAGGTAACACAAAGGGGCTAGATTGAGCATAAGAGGAAGAGGCCCATGATGGGCCTTCTCCCTCTAGGTGGCCGGCTATGTGGGTGGTATTAGAGGGTTTGGGCTTTGCTTTCTAGTCTAATTATAATATGATTATAAATAGACTAGGTGCCTAGGGTTGAACATTCAGTTATCTTTTGATCAAACCCTAATTAGCAAACACAAACCAACCCCTCTCATACTCCTTCTCCAACGTCTCTCTCTCTCTCTCCTCCTTGAGCCGGTGGTGTGCACCATGGTGGCCGATTGTCCGCAAAGGTGGTGATTGTGGTGCATTCCTCCTTAATCCGACCAATGTAGCATTGGTGGACTGCTCATTCGAATCTCGTGGACTAAGTAGAGGAGCAACGCTTAGGGCTCTATCCTCTCCCTAATTGATAGTCAATCGCATTGTGGAAATCACGTGTCAAAGGTATGAATTATGTGATTCTTTATATATGTGTTATGCTTGTAGATCCAGTTTAGGTGCGAACGAATATGATTCATGAAATTCCGAATATAGTACTTAAAACCTTACAACAACCACATATAAGAATTTGTGTTTGGCCTTTACTTATGAAATTGTCAACATTTCAAATAGGCAGAACAAAAAGGATCGGAGGGAGTACAACCAATAGCCTATTTACATTAAAATGTATCACGTTAAAGTTATTCCATAGACCAAAAAAAGGTTAATAGTTACACCAAATTGGTACCATAAAAACGTTTGATGGCACTAATATTTATTATAAATTGGGTATACACTAAAAAATTGTATTACCTATGACTTAGGGTGAACTAGGTCGTTGATTAATCCTCTCTAAGGTCAAAAAAATTTATAATCACTTAACAAACCTAAATACAAGTATAGAGGTAAGTCAAGGGTCGAACCACTAGGAATGGTTATGTTCAAGTGTTTTCAATCAATGCCTAAGCTAGGTTGAAGTCAAGAATGAAGAAAGGCTAAACAACTACCAAAACATATAAGAATCAAACAAATGAAACACTAAGGAATGGGTATCAACATGTAATCATGACAATTGCAGCAATTTGGGAAGGTCAAGTCAATCAATGGTTGTGAAAACTACTGATAAGAGCTATCAATTGGAATCAAAGAGCTATCTCCTAATCGTTAAGCTAGGTCTCCTCTATGAATAACAAACTAGGAGAATCATAATTCAAACCAGTCAACAATTGCAAATCCTAAATCAAGTGGTCATGTCATTAGGATCTACAATGCAATCTAGCATAGTTCTTAAGGCCTAATCAAACTAAGAACATGTAAACTTACGTTAATCACTTTAATCTCAACTATCAATCAACATAATTCCCAAATTAATCACAATCAATCAATCATACAAGTTTTACCCAAACCCTAGCAAGAAATTACTCGCTAACAAACACGATCAAATCAAAGCAAGTAAATGAAATCAAGAATCAACAAAAATTGAAGAACAACTACACTAATCAAGAATCAATCATAAAAACCAAATCAAACAAACATGAAATTAAAGAAAGCAATAAGATGAGATAGAGTAAGAAATGCTCATTGATAATTGAGAAGATCTTCAATACAATTGTCACCCTTGCATCTTCAATCTCTCAAATCACCATTGAAATCCCTCACTTTCTCTCTCTAAAACTACGCCTAAACTAACCCTAAAACTAGAGAGAGAAACTCTCAACTAAGCTAAAATTATTGGGAAAATAATAAGTAAAAACCTCCATAAAAAATCGGTTATAAAAGAGTCTTTATAAGAGGCGGGAAAACGAAGTCGAAACAATCCAGAAAACAGGATGGCGCGCCCGCGCTGTGCAGGGTGGCGCGCCCATGCCGGTGGTCTGCGCGCTCGTACTTTTCCAAGTTTCTTCAAGTCTTTGTAGCTCCGTGCGCTCACAAATGAGTCCTCGTGTGCGCACACAATATTTTCATGATAGTCACCTAGTATGGCAGATTTAAATGGAGTTTACGGTGGGTTCAACACCATGATTTCATGAGAGCGCAGCTTGAGAGCGTAAGAGCTAGAACTTGGAGCATGCCACTTTCTTACTTCTTGAGCTTTCCCAATGCTATTATCTAGCTCCAAAGGCATCTTCCAACTTGGTAAGCCACCAATATCAAGACCCGAACCTCATACAATACCTAAAACCCCGAAAATGGAACAAATAAAGGAGAAAACACTAGACAATCCACAAAAGTAAACAAAAACACAAAATAAGCGAGAATAATAAAACTAAAGAGCAAATGAATACAACTAAGCATTTATTAAGGAAGAAAGCTATGAAAAGAAGGTAAAAACAACCTTAAAAACTCATTAAATGAATGTCATAAATGACACTCATCAACCTAATTCAATATTTTATTATTTTATTTATCGATTTTTGATATTATTGATTTTTTTTTTTTAATCTATAGACTTCAGTTCACATTTTTTTAC